GGAGGCCTGACAAATCATGCCCCTGGAAACGTCGACGTTTTGAGCGTTCGAACCGTGTCGAACAAAGTTTTCGAGCACAAGACCGACGTCAGATTCGCCGTTCACGGTTCTCCGTACTTGCAGGCGTGGCATTTGAATTGGCTCCTCACTAGTCATCCTGATGAGGTCAGATTTTTTTCCCCATATCTTGTTCGCTTCGCTGAATCATAAAATATTGAGTCAGACAATCTCCGTTATATGTATTGTATATCTGATTTGATAGCTTTCAGTCATTTGTAATGTTCGTATGCATAATCGAAAGAGTTGGTTCACGCTTCTAATTTTTGTGAGCGCCGAAAATGGAATTTATCACCTACAGTATGCATTTTCTCCAAGTCTTCGAATACATTGAATGAGGATTGGCTTGTTTTTTCTTGGATTTGAGATGTTTCAAACTTTGAATATCTGCTCTGTCGATGCATAGTAAACCTTATCCTTCAACAGTATACCTTGCATCTTTTCTCGTCTGAAGAAAATTACCGTGTGTACGCGAATATAAGCGTTTCTTTTTTAATTTTAGAAGCTCAGAAACTATGGGTGTACTTATGTTCTCTTATTCATGCCCTTGACGGAAATGTGAGTCTATATCAGGAAATCGTTCTGTTCGCGGCCCACGAAACGATTGAAAACTTCTTTTCTTCGGTTCTTTGGTACTATAAATTTAAAATGGTCAAGAAATACTGTACCGTAGTCAACTTTTGGCACTTCGAGGTGCATGAAGCATTGGCTGAAGGGAAAGAGCAAAGGTTGTGCGGCACCGTTGTTCCCTTTCCAGGGAAAACCTAAATTTAGTCAGAAATTTTGGGACGTGCTTATATTCGCCAATTGTCTGAATTTGAATGTTGTGCATTACAAATCTAGGGGATTGCTTATATTCGCGTAGATACGATAATCAGTAAATTGTATCGGAAAGAAATATTCATTTCTGCTGGTCTTCCATCGTCGTTTGTGGTAAACACATGTCGTAATTACATTTTTATTTATCTCGTCAGCTGAGAGAAGTCCTGCGTTTGGATCGAGACGTGGGAATTGAAATGATAGGAGTGTCCGAATGTGTGGAGGAGTCCGTTTGTGACGCCAGTTGCTTGACTCTGGTGCATGCCACGACTCGTGGCTATCTCGTTGGTTCGAATCGCACCACGCTACTGGCCGTGGACACGTGGTCTGAACCGTACTGTTCCTGCCAACTTCCTCCGCTCACAGCTTCAGCTTCTGATCCGTGCTATCCGAACCCGTGTCGTAACGGAGGAGTATGCAAATTGGCGGATGTGGATTACAAGTGCCAGTGTCCCGATGGGTTCCGTGGCCCGAATTGCGAACTGATGGAATTGTCTTTCACGTCGGGCAGTGGTTATGCGCTCATGAACTCTCTTCCTGCGTGCAATGATACTGAGATTGTAGTGGACGTTCTAAC